ATAAGTAATTTTGTAATTGTGCTAAAAAGCAAATAAAACAGTAAGTTTATGTCTTGATGCTAAAACCACAAAGAAAACAATTAAACGCAAAAGATACCCAAAACCTACATTGGATTCGGTCAGAGTTATGGTATATATATATATATATATATATATATATATATATATATATATATATATATATATATATATATATATATATATATATATATATATATATATATACATATATATATATACATATATATATATATATATATATATATATATATATATATATATATATATATATATATATATATATATATATATATATATATATATATATATATATATATATATATATATATATATATATATATATATATATATATATATATATATATATATATATATATATATATATATATATATATATATATATATATATATATATATAGATGTATATTGTTATAATATATCTTACAAAAAATAAAATAAGAGTTGTTAGTTATATATTTGAAATCGAGAATATAACAGAGACTTCTTGATATTACGCCTCCTATTATTAACTTCCTGAGCGATGATCAAATGACTCTAGTCTCTAAGCCTAACTTTATTGTTGCACTTTACTTTGCTTCTTTATTTCTCATATCCATCAAAGCTGAACATGCAGTAGTAAACGAGGCATACAAAGCTGCTAAAGTCATCTAAAAGAATTTGGATTAAGGTGTTAAAAGCGCATTTTTTTAAAAGTCTTTGAAACCATATTTGGTATCACTCCCCAAAGCGTGTTACTATGACGTTGGCTAATCGGGATCTTTACAGGTCTACAAAAATGTCTGTCATATGGAAAGCTTGTTGCATTTCTTATACCTAACAAGAAAGATTTAAGCTCAAAGATGCGTATCCTCCTGGGAGGATATCCATCTCATAATCAACTAAACCTGAAGGCCTAATTACAGAGGAGAGTTGACTTCTGTTTCTAATTACCGATACCACTAGTGTTGTCAAGGAGTGGTCTCAGACTGAGGTAGACCTGCATGAACTTGCACCTTATAAAGCCTTTTTTAGTTTTTGTAAGTGGGTTATGTGTCACTAATGATTGTTCAGAAAGTAGCATCGGTCTTATCCAAGAATATGTTGACACATTCCACAATAAAGATCAACGTTAGAATATATTGTTGGTTGTCCAATAGCATAGAAAGCTTGTCTCCATAAAAATCCCACAGTTTCGTTTGAAAATATTCTTTTAAAATGTTCTTATATCCAATTTTGTTGATTTAAAAAAAAAAGAACATGATTTTTTTAAAATCAATTTATTATCTTTAATGAAGAATACAGTTTCACAAAACAGTTTAAAATTTAATTTTCTTTATAACCAAGTTGAAAATGTTCCGTTTTCACGAAAGCTCATTTTTGAAATTAAAATTTTACTTCTAGCTGTTTGAAATATTTATTGGAGGGACACTTTATATGGTGTGTAATAGATAGGAAACCTTAGCATATTTAAATTCTTTAAAAAAAAAATTTTGTTATGCATTTTTGGGTCACCCTATTGCTTATGCTTTGAAATAATATCGTTGGATAATTTTTAAAAAAAGTGGGATATAACTGGTTATCTTAGAACTATGATAGTTACGCGTTATTTAATTGAAAAATATGTTACCGCTAAGACTGTTCCTTGAAAAATGACGTATCCCAGCGGGCACAGACGTCAATCAGACGTCATACGGACGTCTTAACTAGGTCGCGACGTCTCAGACCAATTAGGACGTCCTGAAGATGTCCGGTAAAGACGTCTTTGTTAGGACGTCCTAGTGACGTTAACATAAAGACGTTATTAGGACTTCTATTTAAAGACGTCCTATTGACGTCCCTAAGACCTTCTTTAGACGTCCTAATTACCTTGGAAATAAGTTGTCTCAAAAATGTTTAATGGACTTCTCCAATAAAAATTTAAATTAAAAGAAGAAAAGTTTATATATAATTTAGCGCATAAAATATTATGCGCCAACTCCAGGGCCTTCTTAATAGAAGACCTTGACACCGTGCGGAAATTTTCTTGACTGAAGGCTGGTTTTAGAAAAGCTGTTTAAAGTTGTAAAAGCTGTAGCTGCTTTCAAAGAAATTTAAAATAAATAATTTATGATGCCTTTGAAATGCTGCGTACCAAATTGAATATTTGAATATTTTGCAACAAGTTGTTCCACTTACAATCAATTGTATTGTGATTATCAGTTGCCAAGTATTCGAACTTTAACTCGTATAACTTCAAGAATAAATTCTCAAGACGATTTGATTTTTTTAAGTTCTGTGCTATTAAACTTTGAGGAAAAAAAAAAGAAATTGTGTTTTATTGATAGATAAAGTTTATGTAAAAGCTGCTTTATTATATCATAGTGGAAATATTTTTGGGAAAGCTGTTAATAATCCAGAGAAATCAGCTACTTTTTTTTTTTGTTCTTTCAATTATGATCAAAAGTCTTTATCACCATAAAGAATTTTTAGCAAGAGTTTTACCAGTTACTAACCTAACATCAGATTTCCAACTAGACCAATGCAAGTTAATTGTAGACACAATAGAAAGCTCTATATGTAATGGTAAAGTAGTTGCAATTATTACTGATGGTAATAAAGTTAACCAAAGCTTTTTTTCTAAATTCAAAACAATAGATAAAAAACCATGGTTATGTCAAAATAGAACTTATATTTTATATGACTATGTCCATCTTTTAAAGTGCATTGAAATAATTGGTTGACAGAAAAGTTAGGCCAGTTGCAGTTTATTTATAATGAAATATCTTACATTGCAAATTGGAGAGATTTCGTTAACTTATATACATTTGAAAAAAACCAATTATTAAAGTTATCTAAGTTGACTGAAACATCAATAAATCCTAAACCAATAGAACGACAAAAAGTAAGTACTTGTTTGCAAGTATTCAGTGAAGAGACAGTGAAGAGACAGTTGCAGCTCTAATAACTTATTCTAAAATAGACCAAGTTAGTGTCAAGGGTACCATTATTTTTTTGAAGTTTCAATCAATTGGAAATGAATATTTAATTTTAGGTTGGTTTTCTTCGGATCCGATTGAAAAATGCTTTGGAAAATTACGTCAAGGATCAGGTGGTACTTATTTTATAACCTCTAAATGGTGGTACTTATTTTATAACCTCCTTTATATTCTATTGTCTATATTGCTGGTTATGTTCAAAAGTGTTCCCCTGAAGAAATTAGAGATGATACAATTACATATTATGAAAAAAAAACGGAAATTATTTAAATACTTTAAATAGGGGAGGACTAACTATTCCATCTAACACTTTAACTCAATGGTCCTTATTTTGCTATATATTTTTTTCTTTATTAGATATTGGAGTTTGCAGAACATTTCTGATTTGACAGTTTACATTTATTGCAGAATTCTACGAATTTTCTATTTCAAAGAAACAATGCCAAATACTGGCAAACATTTTTTTAAAAAACTTTGCATTACTTCACACTCCTAAAAATAATAAAGAAACTAAACTCAAAGAAATTAAGTTTATGTAAACGTATTTTTTTTCTTATTTAGTACAGAATTTTTATTTTTATATTATTATATCTTTTAAATTGAAAATCTCAATTGAAAATGTTTTTATTTAACTTTACTTTTAAAAGTTTTTTAATTAGCCTCAATAAACTATTTTTGCAATAAGAAATTAAGATTTTTTTCAAACAGACTGTGAACTATTTGTATATGTTAAATTTTAGCAAAGCTATATAACTTTTACTGGTCCGCCATTTTTTTTTCTAATCGGCCTTCAGTCTAAAAATTTCCTGCATGGTGTCGAGGCCTTCTAATAAAGAAGGCCTTGGCTAACTCGGTTAATTAAAAATATCTGCATTGTTTGGTTGATTAATTTGATATTATTAATTTTGTTTAGTTATTTATCGTTTAAAGATATTTTTCAATTCTCTATATTCTATACTCTATGATCTATAAACTTATAATCTATACAATTTTTAAATAAATGAAAAATTGAGTTTAGTTATTAAGTTTAAATAAGTTACCAGTATAGTAAGGGAATTTTAACATAAGATATCAAAATTGCAACAAGACGTTTCAGTTGATATTTTATAGAATAGCAATGATATTTTGTGTGTCTATGTTATATATATATATATATATATATATATATATATATATATATATATATATATATATATATATATATATATATGTATATATATATATATATATATATATATTCTTTAATTTGTTTTATCATTTTTAAAGATTTTTATTTGATTTAGTATTGTATTTTTTCACTCAGATTTTTAAAACTTGTAAAGAACCATAACAAAGATATATATATATATATATATATATATATATATATATATATATATATATATATATATATATATATATATATATATATATATATATATACATATATATATATATATATCTTTGTTATGGTTCTTTACAAGTTTTAAAAATCTGAGTGAAAAAATACAATACTAAATCAAATAAAAATCTTTAAAAATGATAAAACAAATTAAAGAATATATATATATATATATATATAATATATTATATAATCTTTGCAGAGTAGGATTTTTGTAATCCTTCTATAGTAGCAATTATATAATTATTTGTTGTGAGATAAAATATCATAGTAAAGAAGTCAGTTGACCAGAATTTAAATGTCCGCTTTAGTCTACCTAGTTTTGAGTATCTTTTTAGATATTCTTGTAATGTGGTCTTTCCATTTCAGATTATTACTTATATTGATGCCTAGGTCTCCTTCCTGTGTTGTTTTATTCAATTTGATGATTTTTCCCATCACGGATTGTAAATATATTTATTAAGATTATTACTTATGTTGATACCTAGGTCTTGTTACTGTGTTGTTTCATTTAATTTGATGATTGTTCTATTGTGGGTTTTATATAATTATTTATATATACATAATTTATATATATATATATATATATATATATATATATATATATATATATATATATATATATTATATAAATATATATACATGTTTACATGATGCATACATATTTATTTTATATATGTGTGTGAGTGTGTGTGTGCGTGCGTGCGCGTGCGTGCGCGTATTGATCAGTGTTATATACTGTTGGAAATACAGCTCTAAAAGGGAAAAAAAAATTCAGTTATACTATATCGCATTGATTTGGTCAAGTATTACATATTTGATGTCAGATGCCGTTACAAGGTTAAACTTGTATTTTTTATAATGGTTTTTTATATATGTATGTATGTATGTATTTATATATATATATATATATATATATATATATATATATATATATATATATATATATATATATATATATATATATATATATATATATATATATATATATATATATATATATATATATATATATATATATATATATATATATATATATATATATATATATATGTACACATGTATGTATAAATTATGTTAGTGTATTTTACAAATAGAGTGATGTCTGCAATGTTCTTAAAGAACAGAACAATCAGGGCTGTGGAGTCATGGAGTTGAAGTTGTGACATTGTTAGTGGAGTCAGAGTTGCTAAACAAACTCGCGACTCCGGCTCCAATAGTTCTCCGGCTCCAAAACTTCTCGGTATTGCATGTTCATGTACAAAATATTTAACTGTTAAATTTTTTTTTGAATAGTCGTGTAATATTTTTTAAAGAATTCAAAGAAATGTTTATTCAATTTTTATTCAAAATTCAAAAAAATTTTGCTTTGGAGTCGGAGTCGTTCTCTAAAAATTTCAGCGAATAAAAGTTGGTACTTTTTCTTCCCAACTTCACATGCCTGAGAGCAATAATAAATTTGTAATAAAACTTATCTAATTCTCTTCGACAGTTTGATTCTCCATCAGTAGGTTCACCAGGAAGCTTCCTGATAAACTTACTGGCGTTAGACAAAAACGTTATAATTTTCTTGAACTTTACTTGTTTACATCTTTTTTTAAGTTAAACATGAAACTTGAGATTTTTTGCATTATTCAGTTTAAATTTAACTTTTCCAACCATTTATAAAAAGTACAATTTACTACTTTATATACTATTTATATGGCTTCACTTATTTATTTTACTTTTCAGAGTTTCAGAGAAAAGTTATGTTCCAACTTGCTGAAATTAAAAACATTTTAGTAAATAAAACTGCACAGTTCTCTAATGATCCAGAAGGTTATAAACAACTTAAAAGTTCAGATGAACTTAATGTTTTGAAAAGAAAAATTGCAAATGGAGATATCCAATACATCACTTTTGTATGCATGAATTTCATCTTTATAGTTTATATATTATATTATTACAATATTTCTTTTGAATTGTCATGAACATTTTCAATGTTTCTTTCACATTGTTTCTTTTTAAGGTAAAACAGTTATCATTAATTGGAGGTAAAAATTCAGTTGATACAATTACAAATATTTTGCTCTTGTAAGTAATTAGCTTAAGTTTGAATTTTAACATTTATGTTTGACAGCATGACATTTATCATCTTTTTTATATGTAGACTGACAACAGACACTTTTTTCAGAATGCAGCTAGAATGGTCTAAAGAAGAAAAAAAAGTTTAAAAAGTTGACAAGTCTATGTATCGCTATCACTGGTATTCTTATTAGCTTATTATTGTGTTTAATTTACTTTTAAAATTAAAAATGATCTTTTAATAAAAAAAAAAATTTTCTCAATTTTTTTGGCTATGGAACATGACATGTATTTTATTTTATGATCTTATTGAACTATGTCTTGTTATTTTTAATAGGTGCTGCCTCAAAGTCAAATAAAAGCTTAACCAAAATGGATCTCATGCAACTTATTGGAAGATTAATTAGGCATTCTTCTGACCGATTCTAGAGAAAATCCACCATTATCGATATCGATCAACGATGGCTTAATTAACTTCAATCAACTGTTGTGTTTTTTATTTATTTTTCATTTTTCAGTAATTTTCTTTTTACTTATAATATACTATCGATTATACTTTACAAAATATATTAGTTTTTAATTTGGAAAGTGTAACTTTGTTTGAATAATTTTTCCAAGTTTTTGTAAAATTAATAATTTATTTTAAATATATGAAATTACACTTTATGAACTTTAATTTCTCTTTATACCTTCTAAGGTGTGTATTGTACTTGCCATCTAAGGTGTGTATTGTATATCATTGCATTTTTATATAACTTTTAAAAGAATGTCTAGGTAAGTTTACGTCTCTAGGACGTCTGAATAAGACGTCGTTAAGTCTTTCACATGAGACCTGCCAGAGACGTCCATAGGACGGTTGAAAAGACGTCTCTAGACGTCTCCAATAAACGTCCCTAGGACATCTTGAAAAGACGTCTTTAGAACGTCTGTAATAGACGTCCTCAGGTCTTTCATTTGAGACCAACTAAGGACGTCATACGGACGAGACTTGAGACGTCTTATAAGCGTCCTTAGGACGTCAAAATGCCCACTGGGATCTTTACTTCGTTCTCACTATAGCTATATTATAACTCTTTGACATCTGGTGTATATTTATAATTAGGCTGTTCGTATGCTAAGCCAACAATATCTTTAGATATGAGAACATATTATACCAAAATATAGCATAAAACTCAAACAAAAATAAAAAAAATAAATTAACAAAACTGCTTCATTTACGAAAATGTCATAGTAAAATTATTTAATGTTGAAATTAGTGTTTTATTTAAATCAATTTAAATTGATATAGTTAATTACGTAGCTTACTTGAATACTTTTTTATTTGTACTCTACTAAAACTAGTAAATCAGGGGATTTAGCAAACAATTACATAAATAAATTTTATTTATTTTGAGATCAGTAAAATAATAACTCTTTAAAAGATAATTTATTTAGTATTAACTTTAGTTATATTCATTCGAAATTTCACTATATTTTTGTAATCAAATAATAATAGGACTACAGGAGAAAAAAGGCACATTTCACGCATTTCCAGTTTTAAGATAAATTAAATTTTTTCTTGGAAAGTTGCTATGTTTGTTCTTACTGTATTTCTTTGGACACTACTTTGGACAAAAAAGGCCTATCTAATGCTACAAGTGTAGCATTAGATAGGCCTTTTTTGAGATGGATTTTACTTTTATTGTGGGAAAATAACTCAAACAGTTGGAAAATGTTACATGTACTTTTTTCTCTTGAGGTCTTCAATTATTTACTTAAATTTATTTTTAATATTATAATTAACCACTAAGGAGTTATAAATTACAGCGTTACGGAAACTGGGTATCAGTGACGTGTTTAAATTATAGACGTATTAAAGCTTTTACTTACACCTTTTAATAACAACTCGATAACAACAACTTTAATAGTTGAAATGTCTCTGTTTCAGTAAGAAACACTTGTTTATAAACAGGTTTTTAAAGGATTTATTTAAGATAAAAAGAATATCCCAATTACTTTTTAATTTATTATTTAAAGCTATCATCAAGTTTTTTTTTCAGGAAAACACACAGCCGAGTCATTAATTTATAATGCGTAAGTGCTTTTTTGTAATGCGCGATGTTTTGCGAAGTATAAAACAATCGTATTTTTGGCAAGAATTTGAGCAAATTTGTAACTAATTACAAATTTGGCATCAATGATTGGAGTGTATTTTTACAGAGGTAAAACGCAACAAGACACCAACAAATTGGTGTGTTCTTGAACTACGCCAGCTTTTCTAAAATCTAATGGCAAGCTTTTTTTTTTTTTTTTTATTATTTTATTTTAGGTGCTCCAAGAAGTCCTTACGGTCTTATCACAGAGCACCGCGGATGAGCATTTAATACGAAGTTCACGCCTCCTTCCCAACCGATGTCGCAAAACTTGTCCAGAGGTGGCGTTTGAACCATGGATCCTTTGTTTCTGAGGCAAGTGCGCTACCACTTCAAAACATTACACTTATGAGAAACATTAGTGTTTATGTAAAAGTAAGAAAACCCGTCCTGATGGAAAGATAAAGGTGGTGTAAAAAGGGAACTGGGTGGTGAAATATGAAATATAAATTTCTGATGTACTCAAATTAGCAAAAGTATTTCCAATTAAAAAAATGATCATTCTAACGTTTCCAACTACAGGCCTATATCAGTGCTTTCTGTATTTTCAAAAATATTCGAACCTCGAAAATATTCGAATTTACTATAGAACGTTTGATCATTTGACTAAAAAGAATTTATTCAAAATAATTTGAATTTCAGAAAAATCATTCAACTAAGCATGCTTGTATTGAATTAGTTGATCAAAAAATTAATGGCTTTAACGTAAACAAATTTACTTAAGGTATATTTATCGATCTCTCAAAAGCCTTCGACATTATTGATTATTGTATTTTGTTAGAAAAGTTGAAGTATTACGGAGGAACTAAAAAGATCTACTGTTGGAATAAAAGTTACCTCACTGATAAAAAATAGTGTTTTAATTCAAGAGTAAGTTAAGAATACCACAAGAATCGATACTTGGTCCTCTCTTATTCTTAGAGTAAGGGATCGTCCATAAAGTAAGTATGCTCAGAGGGAAGAGGGGGTCTACAAATGGCGTATATAAGATGGGAGGGCAGTGGGCCAATTATAAAAGAAATGGAGACACTATATTAAAAAAAAATATCATATGGTGTTAGATAAATAGATGAAAAGCTTAAGTATTTTTAGGGAGGTTGAAGGTACTTCTTTCCAACAACAGTATCAAACAACTTTATGCAGACATAAATTTTGAGTTAAATAAGATAAATGACTAGTTTATGGCGAATAAACTCGCATTAAATGAAAAAACAAAGTATACCTTATTTCCTAAAAGAATGCAAGAAAAAAATCTTCCCCTTAAATTATCAGACCTATTTTTAAATAACATACAAATAAAAAAGCAAGACTATATAAAGTTTTTAAGAATACTTGTTGACAATAGTTTATCTTGGCTTTCCCATATTATATATTTACAATTAAAAGTAAGTTAAACCGTTGGTCTGATGTACCGAGTTCGTCCATATATAAATACAGTCTCTCTTAAGTTAATTTTCTTTAATTCATTGTTTCATTAACTATGCTAATACTACATGGAGTACACAAAAAAATAAAACTTACCTAATTACTTAGCAACCAAAAATACTTAGTTTGCAAAAACATCCGTATAGAATTTACAAGAAAAAAAGAGGGAAAAATACTGAATCCTTCATGAGAAGTATGAAAATGATGAATGTATGCCAAATAAATTTTTATCAGCACCTAATTTTCATGTATAATTATATTAATAACCTAACTCCAGCTAATTTTATTTGTAAGTTGAGAAAAATGTAAATGAAAAGTATTTCTTAAGAAAAAATCAATCAAATTCCTTCAAACTGCCAAGGAAATTAAATAAATATACAGAATATTCAGTTGCATAACGAGTACCTAAGTTATGTACTTCTTTTTAAAAAAGTAATGGAAATATGGTAAAATCATTTTACTCATTTTAGTTTCAAGCAAAAAAAAAACATTTTTAATTTTGCAGAAAAATAATTCTAAAAGAGTTTTGAAAATTTATTCACATGAATATTTCTTATTATTCTTAGTAGTTACTAATGATAAACGTGTCTTTTAATGTCCTAATTATTAAATCTTTGTGTATAAATTTGTAATATAGTTATTGCAAAATATCTTTGTAATTGTAAAAATAATTTGCTTTCTTATTATATCTTTAGTTTATTTTATATATTTTTTTTATTTAATTACTTTTATATTTTTAATGGATTTTATAACTCTTTTTGACAATATTATATTATATGAAGGGGCTCTATGAAAAGATTGAGGTGATATTGCATCATCCATATCTTCTTTGAGTCCGCGTCTGTTTTTAAAATTTTTTTTTATTGATATTTACCATGTAAAACTCATCTGTAATTTATTTTTACAGCAAAATATAAAATAAAATAAATAAAGTTAAGTTGTTGTTAAAATCTAAAAAATGTTGTAATTGGTTTTTTGTACCGAGTTTTCAAAGTAGTGGTAAAAGTGTTGAGATTTAGGATTGCTTTTAACAATGTAGGCGTGTGTAACAATAATACAGAATCAACCAACACATCTATACAGAGGGTCATAATGCATAGTTCCATCATTAGACATGCTAGTTGATCAATACGAATGGCGGTAGTTTCCACAAAATACAGCGAATATTTACAAAGCTTGTACAGTCAAAGGATGAATCCCACTAAATTTGTTTTATAAAATAGTTTAAAACAGAAAAAGATGCCTTTTGGAGAAGAGTTACAAACAAAATTTTCAACAATCTTTTTGAATAAATGCAAAAAATATGTGAAGCCTGTGAAAATGCCCTTTAGAAATCATTTAACTCCTTGTTTCAATATTTATTTTTATTACCAATTTTGTTATATCACAGTTTTATTGATAATTTTTGTTATTATGTAAGATAAAGTTTTTATATACAATATGTTTTAATATGTCATCAAAAATGCAGAGTTTGTTTAACAAAAATTTTTCTCGAACTAAATAAAATATTTATATATATGTATATAATAAAATAAAATGTTTTCTCTTTCGTTTTCAAAAGACTTTAATAAAACGTTTTAATCTTTTTACTTTAGGTCTTAAATTGATTATTTACAGTTGATACTCTTTAGCTGCATTTCAATAGCCCTTTGCTTTTTGTAATCTTCGTCGTCACTTGAATGGATCTCATCGAAATGATCGCATATGTTGTTGTCTTTACTGCTTTTTAATCCAAACAACTCGGATTTTATTAGAGCGAAGGTTAATTTATTATTAAAGATTGGGTTTGTTAACTGCATTTGCTGTTGAGCATCTTCTTCTTCTATTTTGGATTTTATATTGGATATTGCTTCAGCAGTGGCTTGTAAAAGAAGCGCTCCTTGTATTGTTTTTACCTCCAACCAAGTAAAGGATTGGATTTCATTTAGGAAAACTTCAAAAGATACCGACTTAGTTTCGTTAATTTCAGTAAAACGTCGAACTTTACGCCAAGGAATCGAAATGGAGGTTTTTGCTACAAAAAAGTTAATATCAAGAAAATAAAACAAAATAAGAAAAAATAATAAGATGTTAAAGTAAAATTGCGTTAAAGCATAAAAAAAAGGGCTTTTGACAAAAACTTGAAAAAGTTATAAGTTTATAAGTTGTTTTTATGTAGAAATTCATCTTTCTACTAATTTCATCTACATGAATGATTTCATCTATATAAATGATTTCATCTACATGAATGATTTCATCTACATGAAATGAGTTATAAATTCATTTCATCCGCTTTCTACTAATATATGACTCATTTTATTTTAATCAAACTAAAGTCGGTTCAAAAACCATTTTTTACTAGAAAATTAACTTGTTTACCTTAACAACGAATTAATGAAACTTTATTTTATCCAAACTAGTTAAACAAACTGACAATTTATGTGAAGCATCTATTTTCTTATGTGATACAAATATATGGTACTTTTGGTCATGCTTTAAAATCATGCTTCTTTTTAATAGTTGTCAAATTAACTTTTTCTCCTATAACTTGTGTTATTTTATTATGAATAATTTATTTCTTATTCCATATTCAGCAAGTTTTAAAATTTGAACAAATAGAATCTAAAAGAGCTGAAAATAAAATTTTTCAAGAAAATGAAAATATAAAAAATATAAAAAGCATTTAAAAACAAATCAAAATGAAGAACTTCAAAAAAAAATGCAAAAAAATTAATCTAGATTGAACAAATCTCAATTAAAAATTTTATTGTAAATCGAACTTATTTTAATAGTAGATTCTTGTATTAATTTTGATCAGTGACATTCTTTGTTAAAAATACAAGGTACCAATCGAAATAACTAGAATTTTGGTATTTGTCCATTTAAATACGACTTATTTATTGTTATTCAAATACGACTTTTTTATTGTTATTTTGACTGTTAGACATTCAATATTATTAAGTTACTAGTTGTCAGCACCCGTAAAATCTGGGTTTTGGTAAATCTACTCCACTATTTCCATATCTAAGTATAGGAATAGTTGGTTTGGAGTACGGGAGTAATTATTCTTTATTTATTTTATTATTTTTCATTAAAGAGTAGAAAAATAGTTCATTTAAAAATTACTTTTGAAGTATTAAAAAAATAGTATGTACACTTTTTCCGCATATTTATTTCAAAAAGAAAAAGACTAAATTTAACATCGTTCTACTTTAAGAAAGAAAAGTGTCTCTTTACTGCGTTAGACGCTAATTGCTTATATATGCCTAATTGCTTACGTAAACACATTACATAAGTTTCTCTAACGTAGATGACAGTTGCGTAACATTTTCCTGGTATTTTTTGAAATTTAAGGCTTTAATAAAATTTCAACCCCCTTATAAAAACAATAATTATTTACGAAGCAAAAGAAGACCCGGAAAACGTGTCACTGGTAACTAGGGATGTCATTAAGTTTAACATTAATTAACACTATCAGTTAGACTTTATTTGTAAGCAAATATTCAAGAAAAGTATTTTCCGTAGAAAGTTTATTGCAAAATTCTACGATGAAAATTGAAAATTCTACGGAAAAAACTTTAAGCTGTTTTTAACATGTCATAATTTTTTTGGGGAACTATTAAATCATGACGTAAATTTTAGCAAGCAGAACTGTCATAGAGGGGGGTGGAGGAAACCAGGGAAAACTAATAACAATCGTTATAAATTTTTATAGAAAAATTTATATTATCATTTTAGCGTGAGCATTAGTAGTTCGGTTTTTAGGTGCAATATTCTCTGAACGTAACAATCATCAAAGGGTAATAGTCAAAGGTTCAAAACTTTCCCAAAAAAGTGTTTATTGTCTTTTTTATTCCTACTAGTTTTCTTTTTTTTAAATACAATAACATTATTACGAAATTTCAAAACAAAGCAGTTTAAGAAAAAAAAGACTTTTAGTTGTAAGGAAAGTTTTAAAAATGTTTTCTTAATCACTGTTAAAAACTTCCGTACTTTTACGGAATTATTTTCCGTTATTAGTACGGAAAAAAGCCATTTAACAAAATTGAACGGAAATTTTTCTTATTTTAAAGTAAATTTTGAAACACGGAAATTTCCGGTGGAAAAAAACGAAGCCAAAAGCATACAAACTAATATTGCCTTTTTGTCACAACAAAAGGCAATATTAGATTTTTTAGCCAGCGTTTTTTTTATAAATAACAATATTTATGACTTTTTTAATTAAAAAAAGCTAAATAAATAAATAATTTTAAATTGTATAGTATTTTAATACCATGAATAGTGGTTTCTTTACGTTGTTAAATATCAATTTTTAATGAAACATGTTTAATATATATCGTATAGATTGTATAGACTATATTTACATTTTTTAAAGTTATTTTCTCATATTGTCTTATATGAGAAAAAAAACTAAGTATTGTTAACAGCTCAACAATTAACCTTACTGATTTGAAAATACTTTAATAATTATAATTCAAAATTATATAAGAAATAATTAATAATAATAGTAATTTATTTATATCTAGAAAAAGAAGGAAATAAAAGTGATATTTTTTAAAATTATAAAATTATTTTACACTTTTTAAATATATCTGTATTTTATTATAACCTATCGAAATAGATATTCTGCATAAAGCAAAAAAAGCATAAAAAAAGGTGTGACAGAAATACAAAAGTATTCTAAAAAGCAATGACGCGTTATAATCTTTTTAATGAATTGTTTTGCAGTTTAAGGATATTGTAAATAAGTCATTTAGTACTTTAACAACTGATGAAACACTGAAACTCAGTAAATAAAAACATTTTTGGTTCATAACGTTTTGCTTTTCTTCCTACTAATAAGAATAATAAGTTTTTAGTTAAAGTAATAGTAAATTAATTGGTTTGCGATATTAAATTTTGGATGTTTTAAAATATTATTATTTGATTGTTTTAATTATAAATAACAACAGTTCTTTATGAATATGAATTAAAATCAAGGATTAAAGTTCAAACCATTTGTACATAAAACAAAGTTTATTAAAAACATTAAAAATATTTCTTTTAAATAAGAGAGTCTTGCTTATCTTCAAAATTTATAATTGAAAAAGGTTGCTTTTGTTGACAATAAATAGCAACTTTGTTTCACAAAAACTAAATTATCTATTTGAGTTTAATTGAAACATATTTAATTAACTTAATGCAAATAATATAGTTACAGGATTTCTTGGCTAAAAAATATATATTACGAACGCTTTTTGTTGAAATTTCCGAAATAAAACTCATTCAAAAATCATTTTTAAATTATAAGTTTATCGGTTAAAAATCATTAGCCTTTAAAATCTTACAGGTTTCAAGGGACTTTCTAGTAGAGCCTGAATTGCATCTTGGACCAGATGTTGATAAACCCAACTCCTCAAACAAATAGTGTAGTGGAAGTTCATTTGCATATAGCAAAGAAATTACTCATTTTAGAGGCTGTTAAAGTCTCAACTCAATCAATTTAATAACACCACCCTTGTTTCCCTTGTTTATATTAGTTCCATCACAGTCAAGCACTTGCAAATTATTCAAAACTGGATTTTGTTCTTTCTAATATTGAAGTACTGCAGATTTTAATGCTTCAACTGTGCAACAAAGAAAAGTGCAGTGTCCGAATATTCATCTTCAGGTTTCTAAATCGAAATATGCGATCCTCCCTCACAATGGTTCTCGTAGTATTTGAAAATTGAAAAGTTCGCTCTATTTTGTCATCAAAGTACAACGTATTAACTTGGATTTCACCTACCTTTTGGTTAAACATGCAGTTGGGCCTTATTTTGGAGTTTTGGTTTAACTCCTTTAACTATTGGTCCAATAGCCATTAAACGTTCACTCTTTAGATCTTCCAGGAATGTGCGCTCCATAGCTGGTACCATATCAACTTTGACACAGTATTTCAAACATTTCGACTGGTTTGTCCATATAGAATTGAAAACTGTTTTTTTTTTTGTTTTTCTTGTCTGCAGTTTTTTTCAGATTTTTGCTCCGCTAAAACCTTTGAGTCAAGCAAAAATGTTTGTCAATGATGTAAATGTTAATACAGTATGTTTCATTTTCCCCAAACCTTTAAGACCAGCATGCTTTCCCAGATAGCTTGAACACGTTGGCCTGACGTCGGGCCAACGTGTTTTATATCAGCTAGAAAAATTACGTCGGCATAACGTAGGAAATGCAATGTTTTAAATGCGCGTTGTGGTTTTCTGCGCTTAGTTTACTCAATAATTGAGTAAACAAAGGGCAGAAAACCACAATACACATTTAAAACATAGTTATGCCGAAGTAAATTTTCTAGCCAAATATAACACGTGGCCCGACATCGGGCCAACGTGTGCTAGTTTTCTTGTGTTAATTTTTAAACTACTAAACAGTTATTGTTCTGTTGTTTAAATTAATTAGCCTAATATTTATCCAATTATTTTAAGTTTAATTTTTTTTATTATTATTTTTATTTTTTTGTTGCAAAAACTTACTTCTATACTTAATAAATAATGTACATAAAATATTTAAACATGGTATTTATGGCTAGAGTAAATAGTTGGTAAAAAAAATGTTACTAATGGTCTGCATTTTTAGTCAAAACTGTAAAAAAAAAATTCTTGGCAAACTTTTGATCAAAATAGTTATTTTATTTCTTTTTTTTATTGCGTTTTTTTTTACGTTTACATATACTTTTTTGTAGTTGTTTTTTTTTTTTAAGTTTTTTTACTTTTTTTTTTAAATACTTTTTTTTACGTTTACATATACTTTTTTGTAGTTGTTTTATTTTTTAAGTTTTTTTACTTTTTTTTTAAAATACTTTTTTTTACGTTTAGCATTATAAGTGTAAAACTTGAGACATTAGTAAAGAATAAAATAATTTTTTTTTTTTTGAAAATCGCTATAAAGCTAGCTTGTCGCTCGCTAGTCGCTAGCTCATTTCCCACCGGGTAATAATTGTTTTTGTTTTATTGTCATGAAGGCTCTTACTGATAAAAAAATACCAAACACTTTTCTGAAACCTCAAATATTAACCGG